CCACTGCAGTTGTGCAAGTGAAGGTGATGGGGGTCATGGAAAGGGGCAGAAGTGGGTGCTTTGGGAGTATGTTTTGGAGGTTGAGGCGAGCGCACTTGCGGTTGGATGTAGGGGGTGAGGGCATCTCAGCAGTGAGAACTGAGGGGAGAGACCTGGTTCAGGGGAAATGGGCGTGTGAAGTCTGAGGCTACTAGATGTCAAATGGGTGAGTCAGGGAGTGTGTGGGGCGGTGTCCTGGACCTTGTACGATGATTGGTAGCATCTTTGGCCTCTACCCGCTAGGTGCCAGTAGCAACCCCCTTCCTCCTGTGGTTAAAGTCAAAAATGTCTGCAGACGTTGCCAAATGTCCCTAGGAAGGGGCAAAAATCACTCTATGAGAATCACTGATTTAGGATTTGGGAGAAGGAAAGGAAACTGAGAAGTGGCCTGTGAGGAGGGAGCAGAGTGTCCCCTAGGAAGGGTCCATCGTATAAAATGCTGCTGAGGAACAGTAAGAGCGGGACTCAGAATGAGGCTGGCACTTGGTGCCGTGGGGTCACAAATGACCCACCAGGAGGAGATTCAGTGGAGGGTGGGGTGCAGATGCCCTACAAGGGTGAAGGGGAGAATGTGAGGGATTAGAGACAATGACCAGGCAAACGAGAAGGTGGCGGCTGCAGGGGGGCATGGAGGGCTTCTTAAGGAGGGGGCTGGCCCTTAGTGTGGGGGAGTGATAGCTGGTGAGGGGGTAATTGAAGGAGCAGAGTCCTGGGGGACATGAGAGGGGTTGGGGTCCAGGGCATATGCCAAGGACTTGCCCTAAGAGTGGAGATGCAGCTCGGATACAGGTGCGCTTGGGGGATGGGTGCCTGCCAGATGGCTTCCATTTCTCTTAAGTACAAGGCAAAGTTACAGCGTACGGGTAGGGGGCGGGCAGGAGGGGGATGCCGATTGTGAAGCATGGTAAGTAAGTGAGCCCACTAGGAAAGTCTGGAGATTTGTGGTCGTGAATTCAAAGCGAGGCCAGTCGACGCAGTGCGTGTTTTGCTCTGGAAAAAGCAGCTGCTTGGTCAAAGGCAGGGTGGATGATTTAGGTCTGACCAGGGTTGGGGTTTTGTCAGGAGAGGTGTGATGGAGGGAGGGAGAATGATTGACTTACATCACAGAGGGCACGACTCAAGGGTCTGGGCAGGGGGGGAGGCTGCGTCATACAGGGTGGTCTGGGGTAAGGGTCCCAGGGAGTTGAAAGGCTGGAGCTTCTGGTGAAAGCTGGGGCGGGGGTGAAGCCTGGTTGGGGATCATCCCCATGGGCCCTCAGGGCAGGGAGGGCAGCACCTTGAGCTGCTGGAACCCTGGCCAAGGAGGCGGTGGGGCCAGTCTCACCTTTCAGACCTGGAGAAGAGGTTCCAGGGCTTTCAACTAAGATGGCACATCTCTTGCTGTGCTCTCACAGCCAGGGATGGGACAACTGTCTCCCCTTTCTTTGGCAAAGATGCACCTTTCCCCCATGGCCCCTCTTTCCAAGGACATCCCTTGGGGGTACCTTCATTTGGGTACCACCTAAGAAAAACTCATGTGTATGTCACCTGCTGATGCCTGCTACCATTACTCTTCACCTTTCAACAATCTTGGCCAGGTACTGGGGACAGAGAAGTGATGTCTGCTCTGATGCAGGGGGTGGTGCAACAAACCATCGGACTCCATCTCGCTCTGAGCGTGAAACTGGCACCGAGGGAGGGCAGGGTAACTCCCTCTGCCTGAGAGGAGGTGACAGGTGAGCAGACCTTGAAGACAGAGTAGGGGTCCAACAAGCACAGAAGGAAGGGTAAGGAGGGCGTTTCTGGCAGAGCAAACAGCCCCTGGAAAGGACTAGAGATATGGGAGCTCAGGGCATGTCCGGGGACCAGCACGTAGCCTGGTGTGGCCCGGAAGGTGGGCCAGGGCCTGTCACTGCCTCCCCCTTCCCCTAAACGTGGCTGAGAGTAATCTAGGCAGCTCCTGCCGCTGGCTGGCTGTAGATCTGGGACTGACTCTGCCAGCCCTGGTGGAGCGGTATGATGAGGGAAGGTCAGATCTAGTTTGGGAAGCGCTGAAGGAAGCCCTGCTGGGGCCCGGGGCCCGAGGCCCTGATTCATGCAGGGCTCGGTGGAGCAGGCAGCTGGGGACTGTGGGTGTGTGGGGAGATGAAGACCACAGAGAGGAATGGGAATCGAGTTATGTAACAGTGCCCACTGCCCCGAGAGCCAGCCGCTGGTCTTGGGGGTGGGTGGGGCTGGGAGGCAGCAGCAGGCAGCACAGAGCCTGCGTGGTGGCTGAACCTCAAGGGTTCCTGTAGACTCTCTCTGGCTGTCCTCAACCTAGGCTGGTACCCAGCAGGGCCCGGTGCTTCCCCTTCAGGGAAGGCCCAGGTGAGAATCAGCATTGATTTGTAGGGCGGAAAGGATGGGGTGGGGTGGGTATAAGCAGCCCTGGCCTCAGTTCCTGCAGAGTCCTGGAGGCCTGGCCTTTCAAGGAAAACAAGCCAACAGACAAAAGGCTGCTGCTGACTGCAGTGTATGGGGCCCCCCAGCCTGAGAATGGTGGGAGAGGGTGAAAAATGGTCCTTCTCAAAGCCCATTTGGGCCACCAGGGTGCTGAGATTCCCTGCCGTGGGACAGGGAACCATGGGGACAGGCAGGAACTTGCTTAAGCGGCTGCTTCCCCAGATCCAAAGCCCACCCCTCTGTCCTTCCTCAGGGAAGGGGTTTCTGAGGCCTCTCCATCCCTGGCGACTGTGGGGTGGAAGCCCAGCAAGTGCAAGGATGCATTCATGAAACCTGTCTCTGGAGGGGGCAAGGGAGGCTGGCCGCCTCTCCAAACCTAGCCTAGGTAGTACCTACCCCACCAGGCTGTAGGCACTCTCATCTAACAGGGGAGCTGGGTAGGCTGGCAAGAGGCAGGGAGAGCCCAGGATCAAGGAGGATGTCCCTCAGTCCTGCCATGTGGCTGGGGGGTGGTGGGTACCACCTGTCTGAGCCTGGGTAGGGGTGACACATTGTGGGCACCTTGAGGTCATACTCTCTGCTCCCATGAAGATGGAGCAGGCACGCTGGATCAAGGTCATGTCCTTTGGGGGAGACTTACTTTCAGAAGTGGATTGATGCTTTATACAGAGGATGCCATGCACAGCTGTGGGCTAGCAATATAAGGCCTGGGTCTAGGCTGGGGTTACAGCATTAGGGGCTCCGGAAACGGTGAGAAAAGCGCCCTTGAGGCTGCCCAGGCTGGCGCTGGTGGCAGTGGCCACAGGGAGCGTGGGTAGGGGGAGGGTGTGGGACAACCGCCGGTCCTGCGCAGTTCTTTGAGGCCAGAGTGACGTTAGGGTGCGGTGTGTGCTTAGTCGGGAATTTCTTCTCACCCCAACTGCTTTTTCCAGGGCTTCTCCAAGGGGGGTGCGTAGCCTGCGGGGGTGGGGGCGGAGTCAGCAGGACTGGAGCAGGGAGGGGGGGTCCCTACAAATGCAAAGGGAAGCTCTTCCCTTCGAAGCTGCCCCTGAGACCAATATTTTCTCTGAATTGTGTCAAAAAGACCCCGCCCTTGACTAGGTCTCCCTGCTCTGCAGCAGGGGACATCCTCTTCCTACTGGTCACGAGGTCGGAGTTTGCAAGCCCCCCCCACCCCGCCTCCCGCCCCCGCCTGAGTCTCAGTTGTTGCTGAAACTTGGGTCCAAGCCAGTTTTTTTTCTTACCTCTTTGCCCTTAGTGGAGGAAACTGAGGCAGCTGCAGGAGAAACGGGAAAGCTGAAGTCGTCAATCCCAGGCTCTGAGCGCTCGCTTGCCCCCCGCGCCGGGCTTGGGAGCCTTCTCAGTGGCCCCGGGACGCGGCAGGCGGCGGGTCTCTGGCTGGCCGCGGACGAGCTCGGCAGGCTGGTGGCGGCAGGGGGCGCTCGCCACCTGGCCACGCGCGCCTCCTCGGGCTCCGCAGGCCCGACGGAGTCCGGTCTGTGCGGCAAAGCATTCGGGGAAGGGGTTCCCAGCAGTCTCTCGGCTCACCTCACGCCCTCCGCTGGGCTTCTTTCCTCGCGGGCTCCGGTCAGGGGGTGTGGTTTAGTATGCTCCGGCGCCCCGAAACACCCACCCACCCTCTCCTTGGGGCTCTTGGGTGGTGGGAGGGGAGGTCTGCTCGCGCCCACCGTCCTAGACCCGGGGGCTCGGTCCTAGCCCCGCAGTCCGCAGGAGAGACGTCCCGCCTCGGCGCCCGCGGACCCGCCAGCGCCGCTTCCCAGCTCCCCGCGTGCACCGACCCTTGCACTTCTGCCAGCATCCTTCCCTTGGTCCCGAAGACCCCAGACGCCGGGCCCCTCTGACCTGCCGCAGAGCGGAGGCCGGGAGGAAAACGGGGTAGGGGTGCCAAGGCGGAGGCCGGGGGCGCCGGGAGGCTGCGGTCCGCCCACCCCTCAGCGAGGCGCACCTCCCACCCACCCTGGGTCTCACCGCCCGCCCCGCCTCCCTTCCCTCCTCCTGCTCCCGCCTCCAGTCTCTTCCCTACTCCAGCCGCGCTCTCTTTCCTCCCCACTCCCCTGCCGCGGCGGGCTGCCTGCAGACGCGGCTCCGGGCTAGAGCCGGCGGAGCGGAACGGGCCTCGCCCTCCTTGCCTCCTCCGAGACCCGGCGGCGCGCCCCCTGCCCGGCCGGCCGGGGCCCCGCGCCCCAGCGTGAGTCCCGCAGCCTCCCAGCGGCGGCGCCCAACTTTCCCTCCGTTCCGGGCGGGGCGGGGACGGCAGCGGGACATCTTGGTAAACTTCTCCGGGGCAGACGGCAGGGAGCCCGGGTGCCGGTGCAAGAGGATGTAGGAGGGCGGTGGCCGGCACCGGGCGTCCCCCGCCCTCTTGGCCTCTTTCGGCCTGGCCATGGGGCTCCAGCACCTTCAGCTCAGCCAGGGGGGCGACCCTCTCGTCTAGCCGACCTGGGTGGGAAAGCGCTGTCGCCGGCTGTGCACGCGCTGGGCGAGCAGCGCCCCTTCTGCCCGCGTCCGGCCCCACCATGGACCACCAGGAGCCCTACTCCGTGCAGGCCACTGCGGCCATCGCGGCGGTCATCACCTTTCTCATCCTCTTCACCATCTTCGGCAACGCGCTGGTCATCTTGGCTGTGCTGACAAGCCGCTCGCTGCGAGCCCCGCAGAACCTGTTCCTAGTGTCGCTGGCCGCCGCCGACATCCTGGTGGCCACGCTCATCATCCCTTTCTCCCTGGCCAACGAGCTGCTGGGCTACTGGTACTTCTGGCGCACCTGGTGCGAGGTGTACCTGGCGCTCGACGTGCTCTTCTGCACCTCCTCCATCGTACACCTGTGTGCCATCAGCCTGGACCGCTACTGGGCCGTGAGCCGCGCGCTGGAGTACAACTCCAAGCGCACCCCGCGCCGCATCAAATGCATCATCCTCACCGTGTGGCTCATCGCAGCTGTCATCTCGCTGCCGCCCCTCATCTACAAGGGCGACCCGGCTCCCCAGACCCGAGGGCGCCCTCAGTGCAAGCTCAACCAAGAGGCCTGGTACATCCTGGCCTCCAGCATTGGATCTTTCTTTGCACCCTGCCTTATCATGATCCTTGTCTACCTGCGGATCTATCTGATCGCCAAGCGCAGCCACTGCAGAGGTCCCAGGGCCAAGGGGGGCCCTGGGGAGGGTGGGTCTAAGCGGCCCCACCCTGTCCCTGGGGAAGTTTCAGCCTCAGCCAGATTGCCAGCTCTGGCCTCTCAACTGGCTACTGCTGGAGAGGCCAATGGATGCTCCCAGCCCACTGGGGAGAAGGGCGAGGGGGAGACCCCTGAAGACCCTGGGACCCTCACCTTGCCACCCAGCTGGCCTGCCCGCCCCAGCTCAGGCCAGGGTCAGGAGGAAGGTGTTTGTGGGACCTCTCCGGAGGGGGAGGGCGTGTGTGAGCCGAAGGCCTCGTCAGCGTCTCCCGCCTCAGCTTGCAGCCCATCCCTGCAGCAACCACAGGGTTCCCGGCTGCTGGCGACCCTACGTGGCCAGGTGCTCCTGGGCAGGGGCAAGGGCACTGCGGGGCGGCAGTGGTGGCGGCGGCGGACGCAGCTGACCCGGGAGAGGCGGTTCACGTTCGTGCTGGCCGTGGTCATCGGCGTCTTCGTGCTCTGCTGGTTCCCCTTCTTCTTCAGCTACAGCCTGGGCGCCGTCTGCCCTCAGCGCTGCGAGGCACCCCGCGGCCTCTTCCAGTTCTTCTTCTGGACCGGCTACTGCAACAGCTCGCTGAACCCTGTCATCTACACCATCTTCAACCAGGACTTTCGTCGTGCCTTCCGAAGGATCCTTTGCCGCAAGTGGACCCAGACGGCCTGGTGAGCCCGCCTGTCCGCTGCCCGTGTGGGGTTGGCGCCAGGTGGTGCCAGGGCCACCCTGCTTCTGGCCCCGTTGTATGTGGCCACCTCCCTAGGGCTCTCTGGTCCCTTCCCTGGTCCTGCAGGCCTCATCCCGGGACGCCCCTCGGAGGGGCAGGGTCTATTTGAAGCCTCCCCGTACTGGCTTGGCCGTGGGGGGCCATCTTCTTCACCCCCTGCCTGTGCACAGGCAGCCGGATGAGGCTTGGACCTTCCTGAATGTAGCCATGGCCAGGCTCCCTCGCAGAACCCCAGACCCCTGCAAACCTTGAGGACCCTGTGTTTTCTGGCTGATCACTTGCTTGTGGCGTTTTGTATCTTTCTCATCTTCCCCTTGAAAAGAGCAGGAAGCCTCCTTCCGCTTTTTTCCAGGAGGGCCTGCTGCTGAGGAAGAGGCAGAAACGATGATGGGCATCCGTGCTGCGTGCCCGTGGTCCCCATTAGATCCTGGGTGGGGGTTTATGGGCCGGCACCATCTTTGGGCCCTTCTCCTTCCCCCTGCTTTTGGAGTTGTAACTCCAGACCTGTGGATCGTTTTCCTCACCCGGCGCCCCTCTGGGAGGCTGGTGGGTGCGTGGATGCCTCAGGGCGGGTGGTCTGGGGGTCTGGCCTCTGCCTCCACGGGAGAGCCCTGATCACTAGCGTTCACCGCTTGCAAAACCCAGGGCAACAATAGCTTTGCCGCCTGCTTGCTGCAGGGAGATGAAAGGCTTCGCAGAAAGTTTCGAGCTCCGTGGGGGAACGCACTAGAGAACCAGAAAATGTGATTATTCGGTGATATAAAAATCCCCCTTTTCTGGGTTTACCTCTGCCTGTCTTCCTATAGACTTTTGCTCTGTGCCTGGGGTGTGAATTCCTACCCCAAACTGGAAGTGGGGAGTGGCAGACAGAACCACGACTTCAGTTAAACGATTTCTTCGAGAATGTGTTCTTATGCCTGCAAAGGTTGGAGTTATTACGCTGCATGACAACTTCTCGACATTTCAGCTGCAACACCAAGAGGGTTTTCATTGGCTTGGACCCCCCCCCCCCCCAAGTAGGAGAGAAGTCTTTTGTCATCAAGCAGGCACATTGTTTCCCCAGGATCGCTAAAAATACCCACCGCATGGGAACGGTCTGAGATGAGAGCATGTGGTGGGGTGCTGGGGCTAGAGCAGGTGAGAAGGAGCCCCATGGACTCCCAGGGGAGCCTCCCACTGGAGTTCCTGGGCAGGGCTCCAGGCCCCAAATAGATCCCTTTGATGCATAACTGATTCCACCCTGGGTGGGTACCGTCTGTCCATCTCAGACCCAGCCACGTGTAGCTCCACCCCACTGATGGGCCTCCAGGGGCCTCTCCCTCCTGGTCCCCTCCCCCACCCCAGAACTGGCACCTGGAACAGTTCGGAGAATGTAGAGGATGTTTTGCAGTCTTCCCCATGCGAGTGCCTGGCTTCACCATTCAGCCGGTGAGCATCCTGTCTTGGGGCGGGGCTGAGCAGCACAGGCACTGCTGGCACGCTGATGGGCCTGGCTAGACTTGGAGGGACGCTGAGGGAGCTTTCTGGGGTGGAGAGAATGGAGGGGACCAAAGAGAGTCCCTCCTGGGGTGGGAGGCTGTCCAGTTCATTCCCTGGTCTCAGTGTGAGGCCAGTGCATTGCCTCTGGGCAGGGCTGGGGAGGCTGGGCCCCAGGGAGGGCTGGCTTATGACATCTGCTGACTGGTCTTGTGTGTGCCCCATGGGACCCCTGCTATCATTGCCTGTGACTCCCTTGTTGTGATATGCAGGTTTTTTTTTAAGTCTGAGCTATTTTATCAATAAAGGATATTTTGTAATAAGCAAGCTGTGTCCTCATTGTCCAAGGGCTGCCAGGAGTAGCTATTCCTCACCTACTTGAGTAGTAGACTCTGGGCATGGGCGCCCTCCCAGGGCCAGTTGCCCTTTCCTCCTCTGGGTGCGGCTGGCTGGTACCTACACACCTGCCTGCCTGCTTTGTCCGCTCAGCATCCCTTATCCATCATTACAAGTCAGTGGGGGTGAGAGTCGCCAGGGGAGCCTGAGACTGGCTGCCCGGGAAGGGAAGGAAGGGAGGGCATCCCAGAGGAGATGGCCTTTGGGCAGGGTCTTGGGGGAAGCTCAGGAGTGTACCAAGAGGGAAGACAGGAAGGTATTCTGGGCAGGAGAAAGCACAGGCAAAACATGTTGTGATGGTGAATTTGTGGCAGTTCAAGAGTCAGCCTGAAGCCAGCCCTGATGGGCGGGCAGGCACAACAGCTGGGGGCCAGCAGAGGTGGTCAGACACCACCCACATGGGATGGCAGGAACATGGGGAAGGGGAAGGGGGGAGAGGGGGGAGGGAAGGTCACTCTGAGGAATGTTTTAAGCTGCTGCCTTCAGCAAGGGGCAGGAGAGTGGGATGGAGCTGCTTTGTGTCAGGCTCTCCAGCACTAAGATTCAGAGCTGGAAGGCCTGCAGAAGGTTCCTCTCAGTCTCCTCACATCCCAGGTGAAGGGTCTGAGGCCCCAAAGGCACCCTATGAGTTGGGTTAGGAGCTGAGTCCATCAGGCTTCCTGTCACCGCAGAGAAGGTAGTCTCTGGCCCCCCAACAAGGCTGGTCTGGTTCTGTGGGCAGGGGAGGCCAGGGAGCAGGCTGCTGGCAGGAGCAGGCGGCAGAGGGTGGGGTAGGGCCGATGCCAATGGCAGACCCCAGGGAGGGATGAAGCCCGGGAGGGGAGGGCCCAGATCCGGTGGGGGGAGGCCACCCTCGCCACAGCCAAGCATTCACACTTGAAGGGGCCCGTGGCTTCTGCCAGAGGCAACGACCAGAGACTCCAATGTATCCATCATCACTGGTGGACTTGGGGACACAGGGCTTCACTGAGGACTTTACAAGGAAGCCAGGCCCTGCCTTGAGGAGCTCCCAGCGCCTCCCACCAGCCTGTGCACCTACCACTAAGGACCCGGGCCTGAGGAGGGCGGATCAAGGTAGCTCACCTCTTCCCATTTACTGAGCCCTTGGCTTTTCTGCTGCTTCCTCTGATTACCTCATTTAATCCTTTTAGGTAAGGTAAGTATCAGCCCATTTTATTCCTGGGAAATGGAGGCTTAAAAGGATGCAACGGCTCACCTGAGGTCATCCATACCCAAGCTCCTTTTACTGGACCACACTCTCTGCTGTTGGCATGGGAGAGCTCCCCACCCAATCTCTGGAGATGGTGGCAGAAAATTACTCCTGCTAGAGCTGAGCTGTTGGCAGTCCATTCTGAATACATGTCTTGTTTGATCCTCATAACTTTGCTGGGTCGTGGCCATTTTACAGAAGAGGAAACTGGGGCTGGCGCTGGGTGTTAGGGGATTCTGAAGCTGCATCTGGATGGGTTCAGTTGGCAGCAGTGCTGTGATAGACTGCTCATGTCTGTCACTGCTAGGGAATGAGTAAGTGACGGTATGTGTGTCACAGGTTTTCCATGCCTGACAGCTCAGTCCAATCCCTGAATTTTATTAAAGAAGTGACTGAGGCCCAGAAAAAGATAACTTGCTTTGGACCTCCCCACCCCCTACTCCATAGCCACGTGGTGGGAGAGCCGGGTCTAGAACCCAGGTCGTCTGACTCTGTGCCCACCATACCATAGCTTCATACTGAAGGGATTGTAACCAGACTCAAAGAATAACAGGCTCACATTCAGGAAACATCTGCTGACAGTCTGCTGCGTGCCAGGTCCTGTGCTAGGCTCATCCCCATTTTGCTACTTTATTCAGTTCTCAGATGAAGAAACTGAGATACAGAGTCCTGGGGACTTGCCCAGGGTAATATGTGGTGCAGGTGGAGCTGGATCCCAGGACCCCTGGCTCCCACCCTGGCTTACTCCTCCTCTCACAGCCCGTTCCTGCTGTTCTGTGTAAGTAGCGCTCACTTTTGATTTCACCTGGAGCCCATCTGAGAGTTAGTGGGTCAATGAGCTGGGCTCAGATCAGCAGAGATATGGGGTGAGGATGCAGCCCTCCTTCTCCCGGAAGTAATCCTGGTGAAAGCCCTGGAGGTGAGAGCAGGGATGGAAAAGCAGCAGGTGAGCCGTCTTGGCTAGGCACTTCCACCTTTTGGAGGCCCCTTTCTTAAGATGTCCCTGAGCAAAAGGAGACGCCATTAGAGAAGACATGGCGGGGGAGGGCTTAGGAAGACCCCTCCCCTCAACTGCACCCACTCTGTGGGAATCTGGGTCTTAGATCACAGGGGCTACCCTTGAAACAGAGTTTAGACACAGCCCCTGCCTCAGGCCAGCTGCTGAAAAATCAGGGCACTGGGAATTGCTCTTTGGAGCATTGTTGCAAGATGCACTCCTGACCTATTGGCTCAGAAGGTAACCGTGGCAGGAGGGCCTGGCTGACCTGCCAGCAAGACTAAAGGTGGAGGGGGGCTTGTGGTTTCATCAGGCCCTTGCCCCTCCCCTTCCTCCGCACGATCTCCATCATGTGTGTTTTGGTGGGGGGCTGCTGGGAAGGGGGTGTGAGACCTTGTCCAGCTACCACTTGCAAATGAGGTTGATGCTGGCTGGGGAGGAGGCATCTACCCAGCTGGGGTTGACACTAGGCAACTTTGTGTTCCTGGTGCAGGCCGGGAGCTCTGCTCAGAGGGCCTGGTTGCTGTGGGCGGCAGGACTGTGGTGGGATTTCCATACCAGTGAAAATCACTGGGGAGGTGGTGGGGAGGCCAGGGTCATACCCTGCTTCTGCCATCATCTATCTAGCTGCCCCCGAGCAGGGCTGGGTCCCTCTCGGAGCCTCAGTGTCCCTGTTTGCCCACAAGGGATTACCCCAGTGGTCCCCGGGTTCCCCAGCTTGAGGATTTATCTCTGCCCTGCCCCCAGCCCAGCTCCCAGGAAGGTCCGGACATGGAGATTCCTGGAGTTAATCAGTTGTCCTTAGAGTCAGGCTCCTGGGCAGATCAGGTCTGTTTTCCTCACCTTTGTATCTCAGTGCAGACGCA